TGTCATTCTGTAACCTTCCTGAAATCTCCACCTGTCTCTCAGAGGTCATATACTGTTTTTAGCTTAGAACAATGTTAATTAATCCAGACTTTTATTCTGAACCTGAAGTTACTTTGATATAGCACGTAAATTTTCAGTAGTAAGAGAGTAATAACACACCACAGGGTGGAAAAGCATAGATTAAACAAAGAAAACTATGCTTTAAGCAACCATAAATTTCAAATATTTACTTCCTTTGAAATATAATTGTAGAATTTAGAGACATTCAGTGGCTATTACATCAGTTCTGCTGGAATAGATTTAAACCAGATTGCTTATCGCAAAAGTAATATACACATATGTGAATGTGAGCCTTGTAAATCCTTTCTGATTGTGTAAACTGGAGCTGCCACGGTTTCTATATAGCCAATGAGTTACTGTATATACTCGAGTATAAGCCTAGTTTTTCAGCCCATTTTTTGTGCTGAAAAAATCCCCCTCGGCTTATACTCGAGTCAATAAGTTTTCCCAGTTTTTTGTGTAAAATTAGGTGCCTCGGCTTATATTCGGGTCGACTTATACTCGAGTATATACGGTAGTTACTTTCTGTTTCCCTGGATCAGAGGTGCTTTTTCAAGAGGCAACTGGACTTTCTGGTTTTTCTTTGAAGACGTTTCTTAGAGTCTCCATAGACATTTCCTTGGATCAGCTTTCCTCTTCCAATAGAATATGATAATCGTTTATTTTGAACTGAGCAAACTTTTAAAAGATGTTTCTAATAAGCTAATAGTTAATTAACTAACGAAGCTAATTCTCAGTCAAGAACAAATTTCATGCCGTTGTATGACTTCAGAGACAGGTGAATTTATTTTACTGTTTTCAATTAACAGGGGAATGATCTGCACTGGTTAGCATGTTCGTTATATGTGGCTTGCAGGAAAGCCGTCCCAACAGTTAGCAGAGGGACTGTTGAAGGAAATTATGTGTCTTTAATCAGAATACTGCGCTGTTCGGGACAAAGGTAACTTCTCTTCTAAAATGTTATGAAGTGTGCTGAGATTGTCAAGCTTAGAAAGTCTGCTGTAGATCATTATATTTTTATTTTAATGCATCAATTGCTATAGTTAAGTAGTGAAACCTTGTCATACCTTAACACACACTTCCTGGTGGTTAGAGAGCACCTTGATCGCATGCAGGTAGTCCTCGACTTACAACCGCAATTGAGTCCAGTATTCCTGTTGCTGAGTGAGACAGTTGTTAAATGAATCTTGGCCCATTTTACAACCCTTCTTGCAACAGTTAAGTGAATCCCTGCAGTTCTTGAGTTAGTAATACGGTCGTTAAGTGAATCTGGCTTCCCCATTGACTTGTCTTCTCAGAAGGTCACAAAACGGGATCACATGGTCCCAGGACACTGCAATGAGTCAGTTGCCAAGAGTGACTTTTGATCACGTGACCTTAGGATGCTGCAATGGTTGTAAGTGTGAAAAATGGACATAACTTCACTTTTTTTTCAGTGCTGTTGTAACTTTGAACAGTCACTAAATGAACTGTTGGGAGTCGAGGAGGGCTGCCTGTACCCTTATTCGTGTTCACCAGAAGTAATAAGACGTGTGGAGTTACGTAAATTAAAATCGGTGTTCAACAAAATGTTTTGGAATGTAAACGTTGCTTAAATTTAAATTTCTGACCCTCGCAAATGTCTTCAGTTTGATAGAGTTTTTTGACAAGATGAAGAAATGGGAAGATATGGCAGACCTACCCTCCCAGTTCAGAGAACGTACCACAAGATTAGAAAGAAACTTTACAGTTTCTGCTGTAATTTTTAAGAAGTATGAACCCATTTTTCAGGATATTTTCAAGTACCCACAAGATGACCAACCACGACAGCCCAGAGGGAGAAAACAAAGGTAGGTATTCATGTTGTTAACTCAGAATTCTCCCAAGGAGAGTTCATGCCTTGTTCTTCAAGTGTGAGTCTTTATGAACTATTTGAGGCTGATTAAAGTGCAGGTAGTCCTTGACTTATGACCATTCATTCAGCAACCCAAGTTCAATCGTGGTCATAAATGGAGGACCACCCGTGTTTCCTTGACATATTCCAAAAGTTACAGTTTTAGGATTTTGTTTCAGCTTCAAACTGGTTCTTTCTGATTTGGAATATTTATATTATGTTAGCAATTCATAGTCTGTGTCTCCTTTACAACTGTTTTCTTAGGAAATGTCTTTGCTGAGTTCATCTATACTAATTCGTATTTCTACTGGTCACTCTGCTTACTAGGCTTGTAACTGATAAGGTATCATATGCTCACTAAGAGCCTATTATCGTTGCTTTATTTAATAAATGCATAATATCTGCAGAAATAGTTCATTTTTTTTCTTAGCCTAAAGATTCCAGGCTGTCAAATTAAAGAGGAAATATGCATGTATGCCACTTCTGTGGTCCAGCCTAAATGTATATAAATAAACATCTTCTGGGGTGTACATTTTGTGACATCTTATTAGATAATTGAAACATAATGCATTTGTTTCTTTTTTCATGGCTACATTTCTAAAAAGGAGGCAACCTTGCACTGTCTCTGAAGTTTTCCAGTTTTGCTGGGTCCTCTTTGTTTATGCAAAAGGTAAGAATGTGGTTTGTTTGTTTTTTCATTTAAGAAGACTAATGATGCTGGGTAACAACCAGCCCATTATATTTCTGTCTTGCTTTCAGAAAGATCGGGACAGGGCATATTTTGGAATAGGATAGATACATAGATTTGATAAATTAGTAGAAGATCCTTTTAGTGTTAAATAAGCATCTCAATTTTATTTTTATTATGAGCACAGGTTTCTTCAGTTTAAAATGTTTCTATGATTTCATAGAACATGCTTACACCAGTTACAAATTGTTATGCTGACAAAATTGCACTTTATATCCTTGTGTATGCAGAGTAAATATTCTGTGGACTTTTTTCCAAGTTTTTAATGGTAAGTATTAGAAAACAAACACATCACATAATGTTGCAAAGCAGTTCCCTAGAAGTTTTAAGCATTTCAAGTCTTTTATTTAAATATCTTTGAAACAAAAAAAAAAAAAACCAGTCCAATAAGGTTTTGTTAAAGTTCCTACAAGTGAAATACGATGTTCCAATTGTGTTGAACACAACATCTCAATGCACAATTAGAAAAAATTCTTTCCTTCAGTTAAGAAAGAAATTCCATCTGCTAAACAATATTAAGAGAATTGCCAGAAGTCAGCATTGACCCACGCAAAAAAATTATGATAGAGGTTTCTGTCAGTGAGAAGTATGGAACTAACTTTTTGTCTGTTTACAATACAATGCAACAATACAACATACAATACAATACAATATACAACACAACCCCACCTTATAAATATGCAGTTCATTAAAAAAAAATTGAGAGAAGTGATTTATGTTACTTGTAAGCCCAGGAACTCAAAATGCACACAGGCACAACTTGTTTCTGTTTCTCTTTGCTGGAGGAAGTGGTTTCTGCTCTCTTTATCATAACAACCCACATTTCAAAGGGCAAGTTTGGGCTTGTTTGAGTGATCGGCTTTATTAGCTTAAAGAATGGCATCATAGGTTTCTTTTTCCTGCGTGGAAAATCTGCAGGTGCCTTGCCTGCTTGTAATTCAGGCTGCTTTCCCCACGAAGGCACACGGTAGGACAAAGGCTAACATCCCATAAACTGGTTTTTAAGCAACAATGACTATTCATTTTGTATTCTTAGTTTTCCCCTTTTAAAAAATACAATATCTTCCGCTTGTCTAAATGTATAGCACATGCTATTTGAAACCACTGTTAAATAGATACGATATTTTAATTTGCCTATTTATTTTAAATGGAAATAAACTCACAAGAAGTTAAAGACTTCATTTGAAGCTTTGAAACATTACTCTCTGATGTTTAACCTTTGTTGAAAGAAAATAATTCTTACAGAATATGGCTTTGTTCAAATGTATTGTATTAATGCTCTTCCCACATATATCAAAACCCGTGCATAACTTAATATTTGTGCATTTCATCATAATCATCCTAGCATTTTAATAATTTTTTACAGCAAGTCTGAAACAAACCACAAACTAAAGAATTGATTTAATTGATATGTAGGCATATGTTCTCAAGATTGCATCTGGTTTTTGTTACAGAATGTGGTATATAAATTTATTAATTTAGGTTAAAAATAAATAAATTTCTGCTGAATTCTATTATCTGTTTCTATATTGACTCTCACAGGCAATTTCCCTATGATCAGTGATGATTTAGTAAATTCATACCATCTGTTACTGTGTGTCCTTGATCTAGTTTATGGGAATTCTTTGCAGTGCCCAAATCGTAAGGAGATTCTGAATCCAAGTTTTAAGGGTAAATGTAATACGTTTTTATTATTATTTATTTTTAATTAATTTAAACCTTAAAACAAGGCTAGCAAAATGCTGTATAAATATTGTGTTAAACAGTTCCCCCATTTGCTTTCTTGTGATATCTGGTCATTTATTAAAAGTTTACCATAGAAAATCATAGTATGCCATAAAGGAAAATTATTCCTATTCATACCTAACTAAGAGGGGAGGGGGGGAATTGACTTGGTGATAATTGAAGAGCAAGAAGATCGTTTCATACTTTTATACGAATAACAGACCTTACATACAACAGGAAATTGATTATGTGAGGGTTGGGGTTTTTTTTCTTTCCCATCTGTCCATTTAGGAAAGTAGAAAAAATGTTCTTTATTTCTCTTTCTCTCACCCCCTTCCCACTTAACCGTTACAAAGGGCTGCCTGAAGATTTTTACAGTAAGGACTTTAAGCTCTTGCCTGAAACCCCTTGCATCATTGAGAAACTCTGCTCCTTGCACTATGGCTTGGTTTTGGAAGCCAAGGGAATAAAAGAGCATTTTTGGAAACCCTATGTGAAAAAACTCTTTGAGAAAAAGGTATGTCATTGGATAACGATTCTAACCGGTCTTCAGAATTGCTACTGCTCCATTATTGACAGTTACTGTAACTTCAATTCCCTTTTTTTTTTCTGTAGATTTTAAAAGGAAAAGAGGAGAACCTGACAGGTTTTTTGGACCCTGGAAACTTTGCAGAAAGCTTGTAAGTACCCTAAAACAATGGTACTAGTAATTTCAGGGTTTACTGGGTACTAAAGGATCCACTAGTCTGCCATTCAGTTGGGCCTCATAACTTTACGAAAGCTTATAAAAATGTTTAGCGATCGTTTGCAAGTCTTTATACTTCGATCAGCCCTTGCCTCTCTTCCATGCTTCATTCCAGTAAGGCCATCAACAAGGCCTACGAGGAATACATATTGTCAGTTGGAAATCTAGACGAGAGGATCTTTCTTGGGGAAGATGCGGACGAGGAAATCGGAACCCTGCGAAGATGTTTAAGCACAGCTTCAGAGATGGAAACAGCCGAAAGGGTACAAATGAAATATAATCTGCAGGAGCACTTTGAACGGGTGAGTCGGGTGAGAAATGGTCTGAAGTTAGCTCCGCGATGCTCAGCCTTATTTCAAGTTCCATCAAATGTAGAGTCTAGGTCCTATCCAAGGGGACAGAATGAAAAAAAACCTCTCTTATTCTAAGGAGGATGTTTACCTGTGGACAAACGTTCCATTATTTCATTTAACATAGGTTATTAAAATTTAAAGTTTAATTACCAATAAAGGGAAACCTTGGTAGCTCAGGGTTGAAATGAGAAGTCCTTGGTGCTCTCTGAGCTTGGTGGTTTACTAATAAATTTATTTGCTACTAAATGAGAATCTCTGTAGCTCAGGGTTGATATGAGGCATCCTGGTTGCTCTCTGAGCTTGCTTGTTTTCTCACAGAGGTTTCATTACCCAAACTAGGTATTTTCCTGTTGCCGTTACCCAGGAATGTCCGCAAGAAAATAGCACCAAAGATCCCTCCAAGTTTGATTAGCTTAACTTACCATACATATCACTTCTCAGTCTCACATCCTGATTAAGAGCTACTGGTCTGTCGATTAATTGCTGTGTCCCTTTAAAGCAATTGTAGTGCCCCATTTCACCCCAGATTATAAGAAAATGCCAACAGTTTATCTCTGACCCTGCACTTGTTCTTTTTCTTATGCATTTTATAGGGGCATTGTTCTGTATAGATATCTTAATGGGGAGACTATGGGTTAGAAGAAGAGGCAGAGTTCAGTCCAGAGAAGGCATAAACCAGGGATAAACCTTGTTGGAGTTGATGAAGGTGATTTTCTGAATCCAAATTTTAGTTGAAAGTACAGGAACTTTCTTGAAATGTCTTTCATCTTTGTATCTTTTGATTAGACAAAATCTTTCAGAATATCTACACCTCTCACTGGCCGGAAATACATCAAGGATAGCGATCCTTACTTGAGCCCCATTTCCATCGCAACCCACTGCTTGACACGGCTTCACACAATGTTGGCAGGGCTGAAGAATGCCCCTAGTGAGAATCTGGAGCAAATTCTGAGGTCAGTACAATCCCGCTCCTTGCACTTCTCAAATTGGTGGCTACATGGTCAAATTTAGGCAGGCAGATGAAATTTAAACAGGATTTAGTTGGTGAAGTGGCACTCTTTTTAAGAATTCCATGTGATTTTATATGCTTTAAAACAACAGCAACCCAAAAATGGACTGTGTTCTTTAGTGATATATTCAGTGTGCAATAAATCCATTTGTGAACCTTGCACCATCATATGAAGTTAAACTTTTGAGACTAAGCACAGGTTTCAATTTTTTTAGTGATAAATGGTTAGATAAAACAATTGCACTCTTTTTAAAAGCCTCCTGTATAAAACTACATACACACAAAGATGTTTTCTTTCAAAAATGGCAAATCTACATTATTCACTTGTTCATTGGCAGGGGGTGTTCCAGGGATCCTTCTCAGTCTATTGCCAATAGAGTGAAAGAAATGTATGAAATTTATTCGCAAAAGGCACCATCTTCTGGAGAATCTGGGAATTTCCCCACAGGTGAGTGTGTTAAAAGCATGTCCAAGGTATTGGAGATTTAATAGCTGACCAGCTGTTGTAAGGCTGTTGTAAATGCTGATGCAGTGAGAATGAGTCAGCAGGGTATTGCCGCTTTAAGACTGAGGTTGAGTCAGCAGGGCATTGCCACTTTAAGAAGCTGTCTATATAAGGGTGGCCATGAGAGGGCGTCTCTCTCTCTCCTCGTGTTCTGTCTCCATGCAGAGTAACGAAGACTGATTGCTTGCCTGGTATGTGCCTACCATGTACATGTATGAAGATAGCAGTCTTGTATATAAACCACTGTTAAAGACAAAGCCTCTGTGTGCTGTGTTTTGCTCCTGGATTGTCTCACAATACTAGTCACGCTGCAAACTCTCTGACAAAGCATATTTGCTCTGTTTAGTGTTCCCAAAAGACTCTAGTTTTAACATTAAACTAAGTATTTAATTCAACATTTTTACTTGGTATATTCTTCCATCTAAGCGCAATGTAAGAATGATCATCTATTATGATTTATTCAATGAATTGGCTGCACAACTTAGCACAGGGTAACTCTGGGCAGCTTACAATATTATTTCTTTCTTAGTGTATATGAGGTATGATGAATAATAGGAATTCTGTTTTTTACAAGCTCATTCTAAATCAACTAATGTTCATTTCAAGGGACCTTAAAATCCATATTTAAAATCAAGAAACCAGTTCTGAGGGAGAAGGGATCCATGTGTGGGTGTGGGTGTGTTTAATGATTATTTTACTGGTAGTTAATAACCCCTGAAAGTTTCCATTTTGTTTGGGTTTTTTTAATTTTATTATGAGTAAACAGTGCTTATTTTATATTACACGATTATTTCAGATCTTGTGGGTAAACACTTCCGTCTCGCTGAGGTCCTGTATTATAAAGTTTTGGAATCTGTCCTAAAGCAAGAAAAAAAACGACTGGAAGACGCTGACTTATCTGTAAGTATAGTTCAGTGATTGGCATAAATGTTCTCTTTAAAAAAAAAAGAAACTGATGGAATTTACAGGAAAATGCAACATGGAACCCTGAGTTAAGACGCAAAACTGATCAGAATCTGATACCTAACCACACATTCAGCCTTCAAAGCTTTCAACTAACACGATAATTTGACAAAGGGATATAATATCAAGTGGGCCACCGTGATTTAACCGTGATGGAGATGAGAATGAGAGATTCTGCTTAGTGAGCAATCAGATAAAAGTCCAGGAGCCCACAGCTGAAAAACGTGCAGAGAAAGAAACTTAGAAAAGATACACCCTGATCCTCACAAGGCTTAGGATGCCCCAATATGTAAACAGGGCGTTTTGCTAAGCTTCTTCTGTGTTTCCCCACCCACTTAAGTCCGCTTTGTATACGTTTCTTAACGGACGGGTAGCACCGCAAGTGCATTTTAAAACAACCTATCTGCTTGGCGATTTAGGCACATGATAATGTTAGCAAGAAGGGATGCAGTGGCTAAGATGCTTGAGCTTGTCGATCAGAAACGTCGCAGTTCAGCGGTTTGAATCCCTAGCGCCACGTAACAGAGTGAGCTCCCGTTACTTGTCCCGGCTTCTTCCAACCTAGCAGTTCGAAAGCAGGGAAAAAATGCAAGTAGAAAAATAGGGACCCCTTTGGTGGGAAGGGAACAGCGTTCCGTGCACCTTTGGCGTTTAGCCATGCCGGCCACAGGACCACAGATATGTCTTCGGATAGCGCTGGCTCTTCAGCTTTGTAGCGGAGATGAGCACCACCCCCTGGAGCCAGAAACTACTAGCACGTATGTGCAAGGGGAACCTTTACCTTTTAATGTTAGCAAGCAACAAATAATCTGATTTTCGTACTGAACTCTTTTTAAAAACTATTATCTAATCTAGGCCATCGTGGAGCACGATGTCTTTCATAGGTCTCTCATGGCCTGCTGCCTTGAAATAATTATTTACTCCTACAAGACAGCGGATGGTTTCCCGTTCATCACGGATGTTTTTGATGTTCCTGCCTTCCACTTTTATAAGGTAAGCCCTTTTTCACGTGGAGTGCTGCAACAAATTAACGTGATTGCTGTTAAAGGCACAGACAATGGGGAAACAGTCGTAGGGTGGCATGTGTCGGGCATGAGAAATCAGGAGCCAGGGTGGCATTGAAAACTACTACAAGTTTATTCCATGCTACCTGATCTACTAACAGTCAAGGAAAATTGGCATCAGATAAGAGTCAACTGTCTTCAAGGGAGGCTGGACTTAGGGCTCTTACGGGGCATAGAGATTCCACACTGATGATGATGTGTTTGACCCCGCCCTCAAACAACTGAGCGACTGAATGGAGCTGAGTGTTTACTGGCCGGATGCCCTTCCTGTTGTCAATGTCGAGTTATATTCAGCAGATACATCCTCATCGTGCCCAGAGAGAGAAATACCTGCCTCTACCTAGGATTGAACTCACAGCCTCCTGACTGTGAGGCGAGAGCTCCACCTCTAGGCCACCGGACCACTCATCTTTATTGCTGATCCTTGTACCTAATAAAGATTTGATTTGATATATTGCAGGTAATCGAGATCCTGATCAGAGCAGAGGATGGCCTCTGCAGGGAGGTGGTGAAGCATCTCAATCACATTGAAGAGCAGATTTTAGAGAGCCTGGCATGGAAAACGGAATCTCCCCTCTGGGATAAAATAAAAGAAAATGAAAATAAGGTTCCTACCTGCAAAGAGGTAAAAGACAAAGTTCTTTCCTTTTTTTTTTTCCTTTGGGACTTGTACAAAGACTTTTACTAGAAATGTCCAAGAGGCTTGGAACAATGGGGATTCTTAGGCAGCCTAAACACCTACATACTGTGATGAAATATGTTGTGCTTTTAGGTGATGCCACCTCAATATTTTGAAAGATCAAATGGCAACAGCGTGGCTGGTTCCCCTTTAACTCCGAGGAGATTAAATGAAGTCCGTGCGGAAACTGGAACACAGGGGAAGGGTAAGCCTTTCCAAATCTAGAAAAGATGAGTGGTGGAGCAGAAATGGCAGATTCTGAAGGCTGTGTCATGCCCCTGTTGGAATCTGATTCCAAGGGGGAGGTCGAGCAGCTGCAAGGGAGGGGGAGTGTGGCTCCAGTGGCTGTGGAGGAAACTGGGGAAGGGCACAGTCCAGCTGAGCTTTCAGAGGAAGACCCAGGCCCACCCACTTGGATAAGGGAGCAACGTGGGTTACGGGGGAGAAAAGGGCCCTGATTCCCTTCATTAGCTGCAGCTGGGAAAACAGGATATAAAGGGTGTTTGCGCACAGAACCTTGCTGGAAGCAAAGCGTGCATTATCTTTGTTTGTCACGTCTTATCTGGGTTCTGACATCCTCCCAACTGTGTGTGTTTCGTTATCTTTTGAAGTCTGCAATTCCTTATCCTGCCCTGTCTCGTTAATTGCTGCAGCGTGGTTTGTGTTGTTTTTTATTTATAATTTATATGTACTTTGGGTTTGGACTGAATTTCTTCCCTTTACAAACTGTTCTTGGGAGAGTTTTTTCTCCAGCCGATGATAACTGGACATTGGGGGACAAGCTGGAGGAATTAAAGGGATTTCACCTACTTTTGTGACTTTTTTGTTTTTGTGCCCCACCTCGGGTCATCACAGGCTGCATTCCAGTGTTTAAACACATAACAAGCTTATATTTAAAATTCCTTCAGTTTTGAGAAAATAGGCATTATTAATGCAGGTCGTCCTTGACTTATGACCATAATTGAGCCCAGGATTACTTTTGTGAGTCATTACCGTTGTAAGTTGAGACACCCACATGACCAGAAGTAATTCTTTGTCTTTTTTCACGGTGGTTGTTAAGCTAACTCATTCATTTGAATGGATGTTTTTTTTTGCCAGAAACCAACAGAAAAACATTTGCAGTCATATGACTGCAGAATGCCACAGTAGATTATAAACTGACCTGCTGGACATGCAGCCATAGGACCACAGAGGGATGAGTTGGGGGGAGAGAGACATTTATAACGTCTGGGGGTGTTTTATGAGCCATAAAGTAGCTATTCTGTGGTCATTGTACATTTGAAGAGCTGTAAAACGAATGGCTATTACTGTGAGGTCTCCCTGTATATATATAAAAAAAAACCCCACATCTTTTTGATGCTGTGGCATCTGAGCTAAGTTAGAAAGTGGCCATAAGTCTCAGGAAGCTACTTCCACTTACTGTCTCCCTTCTGTGACCCCGTCTTTATTGGATCTCTGCAGGCATTTCATTCTCCCCGACCACCCTCTACGAACGATACAGCTCTCCAACCAGCAACCCTACCAGAAGAAGGCTGTTCGTTGATAGCGACATCTCCGGGGAGGCCCCTCGGACGCCTGTGAGGGTCGCCCAGCCGCCCATGATCAGCACCGTGCCTGTACAGAACGTCTCCTCCGATACCATCCCTGTCACTCCGGTGCCTGGGCAGACTTTGGTCACCGTGGCAACCGCCACCGTGACTGCCAATAACGGACAGACAGTTACCATACCTGTGCAAGGTAAGGTGGATCAACACACAGGTGAGAAATAGTGCTTCCTTAAACGGTGGTACGGCCAGTGGCTAAGGAAGCACCGTGTTAACATCAAGAAGGCAGACTGTTCTTTGTTGGCCAAGCGTGATTGGGCACCCAAGGAATTTGTCTCCGGTGCATAAGCTCTCAGTGTGCATACAAACAATAAAGTGATATAAAAGCCACCATGGCGCAGTGATTAGAGTGCAGTACTGCAGGCTACTTCTGCTGCTTGCTGGCTGCCTGCAATTTGGCAGTTCAAATCTCACCAGGCTCAAGGTTGACTCAGCCTTCCCTCCTTCCCGGGTCTAATATATATATTTTCCCACTTCCTTTGACAGGCATTGCCAATGAAAATGGGGGCATAACATTCATTCCGGTCCAGGTCGTTGGCGGACAGGCTAATTCCATCCCACCTCTCAGTGCACAGACTCTGGCTGGCACGCTGAGTTCTCAGCCGATGACTGGCCCAACCCTTCAGTTGCAAGGCCAGCTCCAGCCGGTGGCCCATCCTGGAGAACGGCGACAAAAGCAGCAGATGATCAGCAGTGGTGGCAACAGATCCCAAAAAGCTGGCTCACTCTGTCTCTTCTTTAGAAAGGTACATTGACCCTGGCAAAGAAAAAGTTTGCTGTCGTGGTTCAGGTATCGGCTTAGAAACCAGGAGACACGGGGAGTTCTAACTCCACCTTAGGCTGGCAAGCCAGCTAGGCGAGTTTGGTCCAATCACCAGGAGACTGTGAGTTGTAGTCCTGCCATAGGCATGAAAGCCAGCTGGATGACATTGACCTAGTCATTCTCTCTCGTTCCAACCCACCTCACAGGGTGGTGGTTGTAGGGAAAGGAGGAGGAGGAGGAGGAGGAAAGAGTATTAGGTATGTTTGCTTCCTTGAGTTATATATATAAATAAAGGTGAGGTAGTAAAGTAATAAATTAAAATAAATATCATGAACCCAATCAAGAAACTATCAAGTCCATTCCCACCAACATTGACAGAGCAAGCCACTAGCACCTAAAATGGGAGCAAACCTCATTCCTTACTATCATTGATGGTGTTACCTAGCTTGGTAATGAAACATCTGCAAGAAAAATGTCAAGCTCAGAGAGCACCCAGGATCCCACAGCTGAATCCTGAGCCAAAAATATTCTCTTCTAGTGATACAAATAAATCAAAGAATGTGACATGTTTTGCAAGGAAAACTCCTTTCCCTGTTTTTTCCCGAATGCTGCACTCTTGTGAAGCATTTTCATAATTTGCTTTTTCATCCGGATGCGAAAAATGTCATTCTAAGAGTAGAGTAGAGTAGAGTAGGATAGGATAGGATAGGATAGGATAGGATACATTCATCAAGAGTCAAGAATCATAAGGTGCAACACTTAATAATAGTCATAGGGTACAATAAGCCATCAAATCATACTAGGAAGCAGTCAATATAAATCGTAAGTATACAAGCGACAAAGTTACAGTCATACAGTCACAAGTGGGAGGAGATGGGTGATAAGGAGTGATGAGAAGATTAATAGTAATAGTAGTGCAGACTTTGTAAATAGTTGGACAGTGTTGAGAGAATTATTTGTTTAGCAGAGTGATGGTATCGTATTTCTTCTAGCTCTGATGGTGTTTTCTGGCTTCCAACAGGTATTTTATTTAGCAAGCGTTCGTCTGCGGGATCTCTGTATCAGGCTGGATATTTCTGACGAGCTGAGGAAGAAAATCTGGACCTGTTTTGAATTTTCACTGGTACAATGCTCGGAGCTCATGATGGACCGACATCTAGACCAGCTGTTAATGTGTGCTATTTATGTAATTGCAAAGGTAAAGTTTCACCAATTTCATTTAACTTGGAAGATAAAAAAAAATAACTAGCATTAATTAAAGTACTAATATTTGTCAGCTGACGGATGCCTTCTGTTCCAGGTTACCAAAGAAGACACCTCGTTTCAGAATATCATGCGCTGCTATCGAATGCAGCCCCAGGCCAAAAGCCATGTGAGAACATTTCCTTTGTTCCTGTATTCAGTCATTTTCTTTTAATGACCCCATAATCCCTTGTAGGGTGGAGTCTGGGCAACTGAATGGAGCTGAGCGCTTACTGGCCGGATGCCCTTCCTGTTCCCAGTGTGGAGTTTTGTTCAGCAGATACATTCTCAATGTGCCCAGAGACAGAAATATCTGCCTCTACCTAAGGATCGAACTCACAGCCTCCTGATTGTGAGGCAAGAGCTCCCACTCTACATTCAATTGTGTTTTTTTTAATTGAGTTTGTTTTCTTCAATCAGCTGTTTTAGTTCATCCTTAAGGGGAAAATTCCAGATAGTGACGTAGTCTTCAAGATTAGCACCCAATTTTATTCAAGAAAGTCATATCTGTCCAGTCCTACCTAGTTTTTAAAAAGGGCCTGGTATAAAACGATTATCATTTTCTCTCCTGAAATAATTTTGCCTTTTTTTAAGGTGTACCGCAGTGTATTGATTAAAGGCAGAAGACGGAGGAATTCTGGCACCAACGACACAAACAATCCGCAGAATTCCCCAGCGGAGAAAAATAAGGACCAAAGTAAGTGAATGTAGTAAGTCGAAGACTAGAACTGGAAAGGTCTCCCGCTTTCTAGCCTGGTGCCTTAACTACTAGGGTCAACTCTGAAGCCGGCCTGACTGAGGCCATCTTTGAGGCTTCAGTGTTGCCACAGCGGAGATGAGGGTTAGGGAGGGGGAATTGGAGATAGCTGGGGGTTTGTAGCCCAAACAAGATGCTTTCCCCTGGGAGCCAAGGACATTCCAACAGGTGGCTGAAGAGAGGAGGAGGAGTGATGTTACCAAGCAACTGAACAGAACCTTGATTGGACCATATGACTGTTTGTTTGGGAAAGGGGGAAAACTTTCACAAATTAGGAGAAAACCGCGGGAACATTCAGAGTCGGTTTTCACCAGCCTGTGCCAATATGATATATCCAATCAAAGCTGTTCTTTGAGGAACCTACCTGCTTCAAGAGTTCTGTTTGCTATGAGTGTATTACTTGGAACCCTGACCACTAGACTTAGCCAGTGGTTTCATAAAACTGTCTGATCCAGTGAATCACAACCTGTCTTTGCAGCCAGCCGAGATTCCAGCCCAGTCATGAGATCGAGTAGCACCCTGCCTGTCCCGCAGCCTAGTAGCGCTCCTCCGACACCAACGCGGCTGACGGGAGCCAGCAGCGACACTGAGGAAGAGGAGCATGGAGACCTGATTCAGTTTTATAATAACGTCTACACAGACCGGATTAAAGACTTCGCCCTGAAGTACTCCTCGGCCAAAGGAGTAAGTAACGCCTTTCCCCCCCTGCCCTTCCTTCTTCAGAATAGCTAAGCTACTATCTGTCTGGTTATCAACTGGAGTTACTCAGGTTGTCCTGCCATTACAATATTTGGGTTTTTTTAAAAAATAAAAACAATAATCTATTTTGGGGGGCGTGCGTGGATATTGACTTGTAATTTGGGCAGAAACTGGAAATAATAAGAAAAACTCTTTTAAACCTAAATCTCTTAAGACGAATAAAGTCATCTCTACCTTACAACAAAATGGAACCATCTTATATTTGTCCCCAGGAATTCTTGTGTCCTGTAGGCTAAATTTTAGAAGCTGATAACTCTGAAAACTTGTCACAATTCTCATAATTTCCACAAATTGCTTAGGACCATTAATGTAAAAAACAACAACTAAGTGGATGTGTTGTGGTGCTTCAAGTTGCCAAATGTGTTCCACTTTCTTTTTTTGTGCTTCCTTTGTTAACTGTACCTATATTTTATCCCTCTCCTGCATCAGACTGATGTTCCTCCCTTGTCTCCATTTCCGTTTGTGAGAAGTGGCTCTCCACGCCGAATCCAACTGTCTCAAAACCACCCAATTTACATTTCCCCCCACAAAAATGAGTGCGCAGTCTCTCGGCGTGAGAAAATATTCTACTATTTCAGCAGCAGCCCATCAAAGGTAAGATTGCTCAGGGGTGCTGTTACCCATTAAGTATTTTGAAATCTTATATGTCATTTTAATAAATCGGTAACTACATGATTTAGCAAGCTGTGTATCTAGATAGATAGACAGATAGATAGATAGATAGATAGATAGATAGATAGATAGATAGATAGATAGATAGAT